TTGGGAAAATCTAAAATATTGTTAGAATATGACTTATATGTAATCCTAATATCAACTATTTTTTGTTAAAAATATTTTTTATAGCACAATTGGCAACGTTGCAAATTAGTTTTGTGCGGGATCGTGGGAATGAAAAGGTATATGCGGAATCGTGTAATGTGAAATTGTGAATCGCCTCATATTTTGCTAGCTTGGATCACAATATTGTGATGTATTGTTTTTTTTATTTATATACATATTATGTATTTTTGAATTTTGTATTTTCTTATCCTAAAAGTTTCGATTCTAAGCAGKATTTATTATACAACAATTTAAAAATTTAAAATTATTGAAATAAATAAATAATAAATACCTAATAATTATAATGATTTTAAATATATGTACAAAACACAATTGTACGTGTTACAACCTACCAACTTAAAAACAAATAAATACACCAAAATAACCCCTACCATATACCACCCCACACCCAATGGCTTATTATGCCGTGGTTGGCGTGTTAATCCCCCTCCTCCAAAAAAAAAAAACACAGTTGTGACTATAATATGAAAAACCTCGTATTGAAGTGTCCAGTCTTAAACCTAATACAGAAATAATATTATGAATTATATTTTTTGATATTTACGGCAGGTAAAGGATCTTTTTGTGTTTATACTATAGCTTGCAATATATAACAGTAAATAAAAACTAATAGTTTTATCATAACACTGTTATAAATGTAACTAATTAATATTTAGTATGTTCAATAATGTTCTTTAATGTGAGCATAATTATAAAAACTACATAATCAAATATTTTCTTTCACATTATCCCAAAAAGGTAAATATATTACACAAAATATTAAATTAGGTACATTATTAGGTATCTAATTAAAAGCCAGCGTACTGTTTAAGTTGTTTTAGTTTCATAAGCATGTTGAATTAAGTCTTGATAGAAATAATTCACAAGAATTCCCAAACAATACTTTTATTGTTTTTTACTCCTTAATCCATATACTTTACTTTTATATTTCATAAACAATAAAACGAAAATATACAATATAATTGTACAACTTATAAGTTATAATTTATTTCAAGCAATTTTCCTCGGATAAAATTATACATTAATAATTTTGAATGTTTGATTGATCTCTCTGGTATTAAACAACAAAGTTGTTGACAAATTAAACTCCCGATATAATACGTGGCTCATGTTGGTTGATAAGTTGAACTGTAGCTGAATAACTTGGGCGCATTGATTGGAAAARTTGAATGAGACCAGCCCTGTTTTCCGTAATGYATACACCAAACAAATTATTTAATTATTAGATTATTAAAATAAGTATATATAACTGCGATATGTACGMCACAAYCATTTTGTGGACAGTTTGTTTTCTTCTGAAGTTAAATTCAATATAATATATTAAATATAGAGCACAAAGCCTTTTAATGCTTAGTAAATATAATTTTCAAATATTTTTMACTGGGGGAGTAGTTTACCATGCACATGAATAAGTTATAGACAGGTACAATGTAAGTGTAACACAAGATAATTCACATGAATGATACAAAAACTTTTTTACAAAAATTGGCAACGTTTGAATATAACTCTAGAATACTGCGAGAATTTGTAGCGCATATTATTACTTTTTACAAGAATATCAAACCAACTGAACAAAGAATAAAGAACGAAGTTTTGAAAAAATATACAGATCATTATTTAAGGCTTTTAGAACATAATAATGTATA